GTAAAGTGCGTATGCAAGTCTCGGTGTGGCAGGAGAGGGCCATGTAAAGTGCGTATGCAAGTCTCGGTGTGGTAGGAGAGGGCCATGTAAAGTGCTTACCGTTGCTTCCAGTCTGCATGCAGTCGACGCCTAGCCGCGTGTTCTTCTCCTTGGCCTGTCGCGACTTGATGTTGGCCAGCGTCTCAATCGGGCTCAGGCCAGAGTTCTCGGCAAGGGCCATGGGGACCTGGTCGAGGGCGTCGGCAAAGGCGCGCATGGCGTACTGCTCGAGGCCGGGGCTCTTGACGGCGGCGTCCTCGACGGCGAGCGAGCAGGCAATCTCGGCGGCGCCGCCGCCGTAGACGATGCGGCTATCGCGCACCAGGTTGCGGACCACGCAGAGGGCGTCGTGCAGCGAGCGCTTGGCCTCGTCGATGATCATCTTGTTGGAGCCGCGGACAAAGACGGTGACGGCGCGGGTGTTGGCGCACTCCTCAATGACCAGCATCTTGTCGCGTGTTGTGCCAAAAGTGAGCTCGCGGACGATGCCGGCGTGGCCGAGCTTCTCGGCGCTGAGGTCCTCGAAGCGCGGGACGATGCGGCCGTTGGTGGCAATGGCGATCAGCTCAATCTCCGGGCCGCCGACCCAGCGCACGGCGGGCAGCTTGTTGGTCAGCAGCAGGTGGTTGGCCTCGTCGTCGAAGCCCCACTGGCAGATGACGACGTTGGCGCCCGTGGCCTTGATCTGGGCAATCATGTCGGTGAACTTGTCGGCCTCGTACGTCTGCAGCTTCTTGAACTCGTCGACAGAGGTGATGTCGAGCTTGTGCTTGGTCTTGGGCTTCGGGGGCTCAAAGGCGCAGGTGAGGATGGCGAGCTTGGCGTCGCGGACCTCGGAGGGCATCTGCGGGTGGGAAAAGTCCTTGTCGATGATGACGCCCTTGACGAGCAGCGTGTCCTCCATGGAGCCGCCGACCTTGCCGTCGACCTTGATCAGCTCAAAGTCGACGTCGCGCCGGTCGAGGTCGGCGACCGACAGGACGGCGTCGACGGCGATCTGGGCAAACTGGTCGTGGGCCTTGGAGACAATCTTGGAGCCGAGACTCGTTCGGGCGACGCGGAACAGCTCCGTGGTGTCGTCCCTGTCGAAGCGGATCTCGTCGCTGATTTCGTCCAGGCGGGCGACGGCGACCTCGCAGGCCTGGTCGTAGCCGTCTGCGATGCGGATCGGGTGGATGCCCTTGTCGATGAGGTCGGCGGCCTGGCCGAGCAGCGCGCCGGCCAGGACGACGACGCCCGTGGTGCCGTCGCCAATCTCGTCGTCCTGCGACTTGGACAGCTCGACGAGCAGCTTCGCGACGTGGTTGGAGATTTCCATCTGCGAGAGGATCGTGGCGCCGTCGTTGGTAACGGTGATGTCGCCGTCGGGCGAGATGAGGATCTTGTCCAGTCCGCGGGGGCCCAGCGACGTCTTGACGAGGTTGGCGACCGTCTGCGCCGCCAGGATGTGCGACTTGACCGCGTCGTTGCCGTGCTGGCGCTTCTTCTTGCCCTGGCTGCGAGGGAGTCAGCGTGGGTCTGCGCAACTCGTCGCTACCGTGTGGCGGCCTACTCGCGGACGATGATGAACGGCCGGCCCGCCTCGTCCTTCATCACCTGTGCTGTTCCTCGTCAGCTGCTGCTGCTGCTGCTGCCTTTATTGCCGGCGCGCTCGCCGTGCGCTCCACGCGGGCGGGAAGGGGGACCGAGGCAGGGCGGTGCGAGGGCCGCTCGGGGGCGTACCGTTGGACATGTCGAGATCTGTCGCGCCGTGGTCAGCATGGCGGCTCTGGCTTTGGCTCTGGCTCTGGCTCTAGCTTTGGCCCTGGCTTTGGCCCTGGCTCTGGCTCTGCCTTGGGCTCTGGCTTTGCGTGCGGCCGTCTGGCCATCTCGCGGGGCCGAGAGAAAGCAGCCGGGCAGTGTCGGAATGGGGGGAGACGTACTCATCGCCATGGCGGCGGGTGTGTGTGACGCAAAGGGGAATGCGACGGGGAATCAACAAGCAAAGACGCTCCAGATGCTGTACACGCGCAGAAAGGCCGTCAATCTACGAGCGACGAGGGGTGGTGGGGGCCGCTGCACCAGCCGCCGACAGCTTGTCCAAAACCAAAACTTTCCCTGCCAAGGCCGGGGTCGCTACCTAGCGGGCGGCGCGCGCAGCCCAGTCGCGTCGTCGAGCAGCTCTCCGTCGCGCGACTGGGACCGTCGATTGACCCATTGCGCTCCCACGCCCGACGCCTCGAAGCCCACGTCCGACACCTCGAAGCCCGCGTCCGACGCCTTGAAGCCCGCATCCAACGCCTTGAAGCCCGCGTCCGACGCCGTGAAGCCCGCGTCCGACGCCTTGAAGCCCGCGCCCGACGCATTGCAGCCCGCGCATCCACGCACTGCAGCCCGCACATCTACGCACTGCAGCCCGCGCATCCACATACTGCAGCCCGCGCCCGCCATGCCGCGTGAGCCCGCCTGCCCGCGCCCGCTGCGCCCACTGCGCCCGTACTGACGCGCCCCAGCTGCCCTGAGCGACGCCGAGTCGTCCGACGCAGACATGCCCGCGACCAAAGCCACCGCGCCCGAGTCCGAGTCCGACGCCGCCGACGACGACGCCGAGTACGCGCCACCCCCAGTCGCCCGCCCGCCGCATGCACTGACCCGGCCCCAGATTCGTCGTCGAGAAGATCATCGGCCACCGCTTCAACAAGGGCGTGCTGGAGTTCGACGTCAAGTGGCAGGGCTACGAGGACCCGCGTGACCGCACCTGGGAGCCCGAGGAGAACATGGAGACGGCCGCCGACGTGCTGAACGAGTACTTTGACGACATTGGCGGCCGCCCCGCGAAGCCCGCAAAGGGCACCAAGCGCAAGGGCCCCGCCGCCGCGGCGAGCGAGACGGGCACCCCCGCGAGCGCCTCGAAGCGCTCCAGAAAGGCCGCCGAGCCCGCCGAGCAGCCGTGGAGCCCGCCGCCGGGCAGCTGGGAGCACGACGTGAGCCACATTGACACGGTCGAGCAGTGCATCGACCCCAAGACGGGCAAGGACGCCAAGTACGCCTACATTGTGTGGAACAACCAGAAGAAGACGCAGCACCCGCTGAAGCACATGTACACAAAGTGCCCGCAGAAGGTACGGTCGCTCCTCGTCCGCCTCGCCACACAGCCCATGCTGACCCTCCCAGATGCTGCAGTACTACGAGTCCCACCTCGTCTTCTCCACACACGACGCAAGCGGCGACGCCATGGACAAGGCGTAGCGACGCCTCGGCGTTGTACTGTGCCTGGGGACCTTGTGGCCACGCCTCGGCGTTGTACTGTACCTCGGGACCTTGTGGCCGCGCCTCGGCATGGTACTGTACCTGGGGACCTTGTGGCCGCGCCTCGGCATGGTACTGTGCCTGGGGACCTTGTGGCCGCGCCTCGGCATCGACCTCTGCATCGCATTCATACCTCGAGACACATTTTGGACATGGCGTTTGGATCGTGGCTCTGCGCATCATGGCTTGGCTTGTGTAGACTATCAATTCCTTCACCTTCTACCATTCAGCACCATCTCCGAGAAAGAGCACAACGTGTGGTAGTGACATTGCCATTCTCTAGTAATAAATAGCCAGCCAGACCGGCGGCACCGGGTATCGCACTCCTATCAGGACAACACGGACAAACCGTCCAACCATCCACAACAAACCAATAAATAGCCGAATAAAGAACAATGAACAATGAAAAGAAAGAAGAAAATGCCCAAACGCCGGCAATGCAACGCCAGTCCAAGCCACCTCACATGTCCATGGTCTTTCCGTCATCAATCGTGACCCTTGTCGTCTTGTCGCAACGCCTACGCAACGCCGTCTTGTCGCAACGCCTACGCCTACACAACGCCTACGCCTACGCATACGCAACGCCTACGCCACGCTCGTCATGTCGCTCCCGCTGCTCGCCGTCCCTTGCCCGACTGCCATCCGCGTCTGCAGGTAGTAGATCAGGTACGCGATCAGCGCGATCAGGATGAAGAGGATGAGGATGATGAGGAAGATGACAATGTTGCGCTTCATCTCTGCAAACGAAGCGAGTGAGGTCGAGGTTGGAGATCGAGTGAGTGATTGAGTAATTCAGTGCTGAGAATCTAAATGCGTCAGAACGCAGCCACACCAGCCCCGGACAGTGGACAGTACATACCAAAGCTTCGTCTTCAGATGTCAGTCAACACGTGACGCGTACTCCAGTACTCAGATGCCGTGGCGATTCGCAGGTCGCGATATGTACTCTTGATAATAATGGCTTGGATATTCGTCAAAACTTGAATGTCAACAGGCGTCGACACACACTTGACCACCCATTTTGTACTGCCCTCCACCCACACCAGCATGGCTGGCGGGGTGGTTGGGGCCCAGCCTTCGCCGCGTTGTGATTGGCCCGCGCGGATGGCTGTACCTGAGACACGTCGTCAGGTACCCGTCCACAATTTTACTACCAGTCTTCCTGCAGCAGGGCTCGATCTTGTTGACGCGATCTTGTTGACGAAATCTTGTTGACGCGATCTTGTTGACGACATCTTGTTGACGCGATGTTGACGCGATCTTGTTGATGCGACCGTGGTATGCGCAATCACCCTCCAGCCCGAGACGAATCTGGTGTCGTAAGCGTGATGTTCGTACCTCGTTGCTACCTGGCACGTGCGCGTTGTTTTACCCGTCATGTGCGCATTGTTTACACCCTATCGCTGTTTACACCCTGTCGCTGTTTACACCCTGTCGCTGTTTACGCCCTGTCGCTGTTTACGTACGTCATACAGCGCTTGCATGTACATTGTAACTGAATCCTACCGCAACTCTCGCCATCACCACCCTCAGAAATCATCCTCGTCCTCCACCAGATTCTGATCGCTGATCTTCCAAAACGCAGTCGGTCCCGCCGGCCCATGCGCATCAAAGTCCTTGTCAAACCACGTCCCAATCACACCTCTCTGCGCCCGCAAGCCGCCGACCTGAATCCCGTCAGACCGCCATCGCTCCTCTCCGCTGTCACCATCAGTAATACTCGGCCCACGCAAGACGGCCGGGGATGCGGACTTACCCGTGAAACACGCTGATCGTCTGCCACCGCACCTCTCCCTCGGGCGTGACGCGCACCGACCCGCGGATCCCCGAGTTCGCGTTCGGGTCCCACGACGCTTCGACCGACCGCGACTTGCCGCTGAAGTGCACAACAGGCATGCCGGGCTGGTCGGACGCGCCCGCCGCCTCGACCGACGTCACTTTGATGTCCATCATGATGTGCCGGATTGCTTCTTCTCTCGCCGTTGGGTCGCGCGGCTGGTCCGATGGCCAGCGGACTGCCTCCTCGCCAAAGTTGAAGTGGTACAGGTCGTTGTAGTCGAGGAAGCAGACGATGCGCGACCACACGCCCGTCACGTTGTAGGGGTCTTTGAGGCGGAGCGGGACGTTGATTTCGCGGGGCAGTGCCGTTGGATACGGCGGTAGCATTGATGCACGCTCCGGGATGACTCCTTCGAACGGGTGCGTCCATGGCGGTCGGAATCTGGACAGAAAGCGACGGCAGCAGAGATTCGAGCTGTAGCCCAGCACGATCATGATGCTCTCGAGCATCTCCCAGTCGACTCTCATGCTCCCGTCGTCGCGAAACGGGCCCCACTCGTTCTCGTCGGTGTACTTGCGCAGGTCGTATACCATCGACCGCGCATACGGGTGAGTCTGGAGCGATCTCCTTCCGCTGGTCGTCGATGTGATGCCAAACAAGCACTGCAGCTTCGCACTCAGCTGGCGGCCTTCTTCATCCTTGGCGGGCTTCTGATGGACTGTCCCCGCACGCGCATAAAGCGACGATCGACTCATGAATGCATCCCGATTTTGCGTGATAGATTCGAACAGATTCGACAGCAGCTGCTGGTTGTTTGAGACGCCCAGCTTGTCAGTTGACGCAGTGGCGACCAGGGAGAGGACCGTCTTGGTTACAAATTCAAACTCATCTCGCTGTGTCTTGTCAGTGAGGTACTGGAGACGAGCAAACGTGGAACCCACCTTCACATCGTTGCTTCCTGATCCCAGTATCTTCTGACATCGTATTGCTCTCTGAAGTTCTACCACCCAATCAGGCTCCGGGTCGTCCGGTCTCTGACGAGGGTCGTCCTATTGACTTGTTAAACTTCAGACACCAAGATACCTTTCCGACGACTTACAAATGTTTTTAAATAGTGTGCCTTGTATAACCGTGTGTTCTTCTTGAGGAACTCATTGAAGCCCACGCTGGTCTGTGCACAGGCGGCAAGGTCGGACGGATCGATTTCTTCAAGGACACAGATTAGAACGTCATAACACAGGTCAAGAAGCTCGGTCATGTCTACAGGCTCCTGCCGACGCATACACAGGCGTTATACAGGCCTTGAATCGAGTGCGCGGCTCTGCGCTGGAGTCTTGTCGTCGTCGTCGTGAGGTCATGTGAAGGTGGGGCAGCTTACCAAGCGCCGACAGCTTTGACCATAGTTCTATCCGAGGTCTTTCCAGCTCTTAACAATAACGGCGACGTCGATAGGCATCTTGTCCGTGACCTTTGTACGCCAATATCAGGATCCAAATGAGGCCGGTTGTAACTATATGTAATGTGCCGACCATGGTCGTTGCAGACCCTGGTAGGGTATAGGGCCGGACTTTCACCTTTCACATTCTGGAGATTCCAAGAGCTAATCAGCATCTGTCGATTCGCAACCTGAGAATTGCACATCTGGCGTTGGGGTCATGATGAAGGTAGGCAACCGCTGTGATCCGGAACAACCGGGTCCATGCCTGCTCTAGCGGTGAGCACTGTACCACAAAACAATCGGGAAGTCGATTTCGTCATTTGTATGGACGAACAGTCTTGTCAGACGCCAGAAGAAGGGAGGTGTCCATCCTCAAAAGCTTGCGACCACGGAGTCCTGCGCACCTGTGCAGCCGTGTGATGATACGTGGAGGGCGTTAACGCGACGGCGATGGGCTGGGAATGTGCTCGACTGGGCGTCATTTGGGCTCCGCACAGAGTTGTAAAGAGTATGCGAGAGCGAGTCTCCAACGACGAGGTCGATCGGCGCTTCTTCACCGTTGGTTGAAACAGGTGTACACGAGCGTCTCCCACGGCAAACTCAGAGGATCGCCTCTGCAGACCCCACGGCTCCACTGCACGATCGCCGTTGCCGCCAGTTCGTAGCTGTAGGTCAGTTCTTCTACAGCAACGACTTTGGCGGTAGACCAACGACTTCGGCGGTAGACCAACGACTTCGGCATCGCAACTTTGGCATTCAACGAGATCACGTGCCATTACATCTCGAAGAGCAGACAATGGGATGACGAAGAGGAGCATCCTCAAGCTCTAGCCACCAAGAGGTAGCATTGCGTGGCTTTGCAGGCTACCAGCTGAGCTTGTTGGAGATGTTTCGTTGGTATGCGCATTTGTTGGTATTCCGCCGAGATGTGCCTTAGCGATCCTTTTTCATCCTTTGGTAGGTATTCAGGCATCGGGAAAAGCCCGTGGCCTGTGGAGTAGGACGTTTCAATAGACTAAGACGCCTCGAAGCTTGGTGTGGTCCGAGATGCAGGGCGCGTTGGGACTGGTCTGTCGGGCGGGGAACTAAAATCTGGGTGTGGGTTTGGTTCTACAAGTCGCTGGAGATGAGAGATGATTTGAAGACAGCGATGTGATGAGATGGTTCTTGCAAGAGCGTTCGACAGAAGAAGTACTTCCAGGCATCAGTCAATATAGTCGACCAGTCGTCCACCCAAGGTTCACATTTCAGCACCCAGGTTCTGAACCACCCTAATGGCACCCCGAATATTTTCGATATCTAAGGCTTGTGCACAAGACTCTCAACGTTGTTGGCTTGCGTACTCGCACATCTACTGGAAAAGCCCATGAGGCGCTTGTGGGCTAGGACGTAATTAGTTGTAAAAGTGTATTCAGCTTCTGGCAGCGTTAGGCGTGCAGCATGGGTGGAGAAGCACGGTTTGTGGAAAGATTTGGCGAAGCCCTTCTACACCTACCTATGAGCTGCGAGACCCTGAGATTTCGCGCATGCTAGGGTACGTATTGGCTGCCTCGAGAAAGGAAGCCGAAGGGGTTGCCCCTGCCACCCTGTGCCGTCTGTCCAGCGCGCCCAGAGATATAGCGGCGGTACGTGGGGAATAAGCAATTTTTCACACAATACCAAGACTCTCTCCACTATGACCATTGAAGGATTCGGCATGATCGGAAGATCCGCGCTGAAGACGAAAGTGACCCTCTACCCGTCAAACAGCGCATCATAGTCCACGCAGCTTGACAAATGCATGACGAACGGTCAGGTGGGCGACCTCGCAGCCCGATGTCTCGATCAGATAATAGATTAGATGAAAATTTGCATCTGATAACCAACGATCACGCCAGCTGTCGCACATGATTGGCTGGCGAACGCCGCTGATGCCGGACGATTATCGAGATAAGATTTTTCCTAGGATCTGGGCCGAGCTTCGGTGAGCTTATTACCGGGGGTTTTCCCGCAAGTGGGCAAGAAGCTTCGCTTGGCCTGCGCTTGCTGGGAAGAAGGAGCCACGCCATGCAACCTTGAAAGGTATTGCCGTTCCCTCACACGCGGCCTCATACACTAGAACACGCGGTGCCAGAGACATTATCCACTTCTGCAATGCGAGTCGACCGACTGCTGTGGGCGGAGCACCCGCCGTGAGTGCGGATCTTCTCCCAGCATGCTTTAAGAGTGCACGCCATCGCCCGCTTGATCTTATCAATCTCCTCCATCCCTTCGAGCCTCACACTCCGGTGCCGACTAGCACACCAGCCTCGAGATGGGTTTCTCTTTCAAGGGCTTGACCACCAGTGCTCTGGTAAACGGCGCAGTGCCCAATCAGCACGCCAACGAGAAGGACATTGCTGATATTCCTGCTGCCGTTGATGGCCACGCCAGCATGGATGTCTCCCGCTTTCCAGACGAGAAAATCGGCGCTCCCAGGTCTCCATCATCCATGTCCGCATCTGATGATGAGTCTCTGAACAAGGTCGACACCCACGCCGAACAGGGTGTTCAGGCCATCCAGGCCGCCACCTTCGTTTGGACCAAGAATGATTTGATTCTGGCCTATGTCTTGTAAGAGTTACAGTCAGAGCACAGTGAACAAAGCTGACAACAAGTAGCATGTGGCTCATCCAGTTCATGATGTCCTTCTTCTCTGGTTGTGTCGGTACCCTTACACCCTATGTCACTTCTTCCTTCCAGGAGCACTCGCTCACTGCTCTGACTGGTGTCATCTCCGGTCTCGTCGCTGGCCTCTGGAAGCTGCCCTACGCCAAGATCATGAACATCTGGGGAAGGCCATGGGCGCTTTGCCTCGGTGTCATCTGCTACATTATGGGTCTCATCATGATGGCTGCTTGCGAGAACGTCCAGACATACTGCGCTGCCTACACCTTCTACTACATGGGCTACAACTCGATTGATTTCTCAATGACCGTCTTCATTGCCGATACCTCTAAGCTTAAGAACCGAGCCCTCTTCATCGGCTATGCCTCATCGCCTTGGCTCATCACCACCTGGGTGTACGGATTTGCTGTCAACCGCATCATTGCTCCCGGTGGCATTGGCTTCAAGTGGGCATTTGGTATCTTCACCATTATCGCACCCTTCGTGTGCGCTCCCTTGATCGCTATGTTCTTCATCAACCAGAACAAGGCCAGGAAGCAGGGTCTGATTACTCCTAACCCTAGCCGTGGCACATTCGGCCAGACTGTCATGTACTATCTCAAGGAGTTCGATGTTGTTGGTATCTTGATCCTTGCTCTCGGTCTCGCCCTCTTCCTCCTCAGTTTCAACCTCTACGCCTACCAGAAGGACCAGTGGAAGTCTCCGATGATCATCTGTTTCATCATCTTCGGCGCTATTCTCATCGGCTGCTTCGCTTTGTATGAGAAGTACCTCGCACCTGTCACCTTCATCCCGTGGTACTTGCTGAAGAACCGCACTGTCATCTTCACCTACACTATGGCCGCTTCGATCTACATTGCCTGGTATATCTGGGACTCTTACTTCTACTCCCTCCTGGTCGTACTGTTCAACCAGCCAGTCGTCCACGCGATCTACATCACCAACACATACACCATGGGCTCGTGTACTATGGCCATCATATTCGGTCTTATGCTCCGCAAGTACGGAAAGCTCAAGATGTACGCTCTGTTCTTCGGTGCACCCATCACAATCCTCGGCTGTGGTCTCATGATCAAGTTCCGCCAGCCCAACGTCAACATCGGCTACATTGTCATGTGCCAGATCTTCATCGCTTTCGGTGGTGGCGTCCTCGTCGTCGCTGAGCAGACCACCCTCATGGCCGTTTCCAAGCAGCAGGATTTCCCCGCTCTCCTTGCCGTCGAGTCTATGATCATTTCAATCGGCGGTGCCATTGGCTCAACCATCGCTGGCGCCATCTGGACCGGCGTCTTCCCTGCTCGCCTCGCGGTGAACCTTGCCGGCACCAGCGCCTATGACAACATCGCCACCATCTACGGCGACATGACTGTACAGGCCAGCTACGCCTGGGGTTCTCCCGAGCGCGATGGCATCAACCTATCCTACGCCCAGACCCAGCGCTACATGCTCATCGGCGGTACTTGTGTCTACGCCACCATGCTCGTCTCCATCGCTCTGTGGCAGAATGTCGATGTCAAGACGATGAAGCAGAGGACCATTGGTCTCTTGTAAACGTGCAGCTGCACCACACGCACTAGCTATGGCGATTGCACGTTTCCACGTTTGCTGTGCCTGGAGCGTAGAAATGTTGGATGTGCTGTAGGCTGAAAAAGTTAGATGAGTTGATGATCTTAATTACGAATTAATTGTAGTCTTTGAACATATGTACTGCCCTGCTTGTGTATGATGCGAGCGCTACGTAAACCGCTAATAATAAGACGTTGAAGACCCTGAACTCCTCCTGATGCATGTTTCCCAATCCATCACACTCTGAACGCACGTCCTCTGCCCTCTCTTCAGCGAAGCAAAAGCAGTCTTTCGGACAACGCGTTTGTTTCAGCATCGGCCTTTTCAGCATGTGAATTCAATCTGTTGGCGCAGCGCTGCGTCCCCAATTCGGGCGAGGCTTCTCGTCGATGCAAACGGCATGCCGTAGCAATGGACGATGGCGACTTTGATCTCGATTTACAAGAGAGCGACAGAGAACAAAGTCATGCTCACAACGACCATAACAGACGCAACATAGTCGCCCGCAGAAAGTGAGGCTCCTGCGCCAGTGCTGGTACTGTTACTCGCACTGTTACTCGCACTGCTAGTCTGCGAAGCTTCAGTAACAGATCCCGTCGCAGTCGCACTGCCCACTTTGGTCGGTATCTCTGCTCCCGTCGTCGCCTTCGCAGGGCGCACACTGGTCGAAGCTGACTGGCTGCCGGGTAGACTTACCGCTTTGCCCTTGGCCTTGCCGGCAATCCAGGTCACAATTTCATCGTTGTGTTCCACGAAGTAGTTGAGATGCTCCATGACGTCTGCGGGCTCGCTGCCGACGGCGCACATTGGGTCGCTGTAGTGGCAGTAGTCGAGGAGTACGGAGGAGTACTTTTGCAGGGAAGAGAGTTGCTCAGGTGTGCGGGCGCGTCGGCCGTCGTAGTTTATGCCTTCGCCAACAGTGAAGTTTTGGTCTCTGCTGCGAACGACGGCGCCGAAGGTGGCTGCTGCAACGACTATGACTCATCAGCATCACGGCAGGATTAGGGGATGGAATTCAACATACTCTGTGAGCCAGGCGAGGACGAGCGGTCTAAAGCCGGGTTGGTGTCCTGAGTGCACTCAAACACCGCACCACCACCTCCACCCAAGATATCCTGTGCAACGGCCGCACCCTGCGAGAAGCCCAGCAGAATCAACTTGCTGTCCGAACACTTCTCTGCATATGCTTTGAGTTGCGCCTGCCCATTCGCTGCGCCTTTGCTAGCTGACTTACACCATTCGTCCTGTCCCCATGCCGTGCTTTTCGCGGGGTACTCGATGTTTTCGAACGTGCAGCCGAGTTCTTTGCAGATCTCGCTGGTCACGTTGCCTAAACGGCCTGGGTAGGGTTCATCGGAGCCCCGCGCAACGAAGACGTGGTAGGGACTGCAGTCACTGGATTGGAAGGCCAGGATTTCGGTGGTGTTGCAGTAGATGCCTGGCTCCGGGTATGCCGCGTCGCAGCGTTGTTGAGCGAAGGCTACTGCGCCGAACAGGGCAATGGAAGAAATGGCGTGGGTTAACATTTTCAAAACGACTGTGCAGAATGAAGTGAAAGAACGCACGAGATCGATCGACCTCAATTATGTACTGAAACTTATCGGTTAGCGATGCGCAAGATGTAAACACAACAGCAACAAAAGAGCGACGGCGAAAGGAGGAAATGCCCATGGTGAGATACTGTGACCTTGTTTTATTGGTATTGCGACTCACACAAGCATGGCCTGCTCCCGTGCGAATCCTGGTTTAGCTAGCCACATAGAGGGCAGCCCAGGGCGCTAGGTGCCGATTACCGCGGCCAAGGAGGGCGCCTTGAGACTGTGGAGTCTCAGAAGAAGTCCAGGCACCAACGGATTCTGGGGATGCAGGAACAGTCGGCATGTGACAAAGGAGATGGCCAGTCGGAGTACGGGAATAGGGGCTGGACCTGCGTGAGCGCTTCTAGGTGGCGCAGGAATTGTTGCTGCTGCTGTTGCTGAAGGAAGTGGCTTTGAAGGGGTCTGAGGGGTGCTGGGTGCGCCTCATTGATGACGAACTGATCCTGACGTAATCATCGATTTGCAGCAGGCACACATACCTACCGAACCGAACACGAATACGAGGACCTACCTGCTCAACAGTGCTGTAATCTGGGCTTGATGCGTTACAACTCTTGCGAATAATGCACAGAACGCATCTATTCTGCAACTTTTGGTGTCCTCTATTTGGACCCGCTGTGACCCGCCATACTCCGGTGTGACAAGGCTGCAGCCGCCCCGCTCGTGCTTCTAGACTTATAGTCATTCAGAGGGTTTACTGAGTTACGAGATGTCCGTAGGTAGCGTTCGAGTACCTCTCTTGTTTTAGAAATGTGACCTGCAGCCGGGTTTGAGGAACCGGTGATGTTTGGGACAATTCCTGTGCAATTAAACGTCAGCATCACTCGTCCCCCCTGTATCTCTTCCGCGAGGTATTCTCGAATCACAGAGCATGCTTTGTCAATGCATCCGCGACGTACAGCACAGTCGAAGCAGCCTCAGTGGAGTGCGAATACATTGCTGAATGCTAGACTTGTACGACAGCTTCAATTCCTGGATCTACGAAGTATTTTCGAAGTCGTGCGAGACGGCGGGAGCGCTGGAATCTGTAGGCTTTGTCTCGACTTCCTGTGCAAGTGTCTGATCGCTCGAATACGCACTTGGCTTTTTCAATTCGACCTCTTCTAGACGCTGGAGACTGTGGCCCTCAGTCAGCAGACCTCCAAGAAGGCACAGTCTAATGAAAGGCGCGTTCATGAAATACATCGACCTGCTAGCCTGAGCATATGCATGCGAGATCTCCCGCTTTTGTGCGGAGGCAGCGCCAAGTGCGTTCAAGTCCGGAGTGTGGTAAGCCATCTGCGAGAGGCTGACGAAGTCTGCAGGCCGATCATTGGTTGGAAGATGCACCAATGCCGATACCTTCGACTAGAAGGACAAGAGTCATGGCGTACTTTGGCGTGTCGACATCGAATATACAGGTCAGGCCAACTCCGAGCGTCCAGCAAAAGAGCCCAAGCCAAATGGTCTCTCCATAACGTCCTTTCCAGGATATATACTGGTCTGAGAGAATCGAAGCTACCATCTATATACCGGTCATTGGTAACAAAAGAGCGCCCGATATAAAAGTTGAGAGTTGGTATGCATTCTAAAAAAAAACAGTGGTACGTAAATACAATTGTGAGTAGTACACAGTGTCGAATAGTGTGGTTTTGTAAAAGCGTTTTTGCGATCGGCGTCGACGTCAAGAGTGAACCTGCTTACGGCCAGGATGTCTGAGAACTAGCTACGGGATGGTTGAGACTTACATGGCATCAACAGCGACTCCGATCTGAAGTAGCTTCCCCCCTCGGATATGGAAATATGTAAAGGATGACAGCTGCAGAGCTAGTGAGGATGTCTAAGTAATCGATCTCCTTGCTAACAGCCTTGAGGCTCGTTGGTGTAGCGTCAAGCCCCCACGACCGATACAGTGCCGCCCGCTCCAGCATCTTACAGTTACTTGTCCAATATCTGTAGATTGTGCAAACATCCCAGACGCTTTCGACAGTCCTCTAGGTGTTTAGAACTCGGCAGGTGCTTGAGAGGCCTTTACTCGCGCGGTCGGCTGTCAGAGCACACGCTTCAACGGCAAGCTCGGAGCGTAGCTTGTGGTCTCGATGATTTTTTCTCGCACGCATCGAATGCGTTGAGGAAGTGATGCATGCTAGATAAGATCAAACGATGGTCGTATCCTCAATCAGATGGCCTGACGATCATCGCCGTCTGACATGGGAATTCCATTCTGCATCGCGGTTGAATACAATAATCAAATGAAAATTCCCATGATCACAAAGTTCGCGGGTTCGATAGCGATAACGTGTGTTCCTGTATAGGGATGGGTGCCAGTCCGGTCGGCTGTGGGAGTGGGCTACGTAGCAGTCATGAACATACCACGTCTCATCACTTCGCCATCATCAGCGCCATTCGCAGTATGAAGATCTCAAAGCCCAGCTCATATACTGCTGAAAGTTTTATTTTGAGCTTCGAGACCTGTTTATTGCCCCTTCTCCCCCTGTCTTCAAAACTGGCTTGCATTGAAAGGTCGATATGCCCGTGGCGACCCCGAGTCCATCGTTCTTAGTAGCATATTCCATGAACCTTAGCAGTTCGTGAGTGCAGAGAGATCCTTGCCATCTTGCCCCATTCCCGGTACAAATAATCAAAGGTGTCCTTCAGGCGTGCTCGTATGTGGCTCTGTTCAAACTACCGAAGCAAGGAAGCAGGTGGAGCTTTCCATCGGTACCCTTCTGATTTTCAGAGCCCCGTCTCGGAGAAGGCACAGCTCGCAGCTTACTGCCGAAAATATAAGGCATCATGAGCAGCTCGCTGTCAGGGAGCTCACAGTAAATCGATGTAGTATTGGCGATTCCGCATTGTGTACTCTGGAGGTATATATCCTTTCTTTAAGATACGCCAAGCGCCACAGGGACTGCTGTACTGATAGTCCTGCTCACCGTTCAAGCAAAAGTCGACATTGAGCGATGTGATGGCATTCACTGATATTATCAGTGTACCTCAAGAATCTAAGACTCGCACTAATACTCTGGTTGAGAGCACGAACTCCTGCGCAACGCAAGTCAACAACCAGGTCATGCAATTCTCTGAGTCTGCTATGCAGCCTTGTATTCTGAGGTGGTTAAGCTAACAAAGCTGCTGCCTCTAATCTTGGTGCCGTCTGCAAGAGCTCCCTTAACTTTCTGGACAAGCTTGACGAACTCAAGGTAAAGAACAACATAAACGCCAAAGGTTATGTCACGAAGGTTGCTGAGATGGAGGCGGCTGCCGCCAAGTTCACTCCGTCATTTATCAATGACTGCAAGCTCCTCCAAGGCGAGTTCAAGGAGCCGATGAAGAAGTACGACGAATGTGACGGGGGCATCAGCGAGGTCAACCACAGGGTCGCCCAACTCGAGATCAGGGCGAGCGGAACTCAGGTGATGATGAGAGGTGATGATGAGAGGTGACGATGTGACATAAATAGCTTCTTGTACGATGGTAACGCAACAATGACAGACGTCGCACTCATTGATCCGTTCTGAATGTTGAAAAGCTTGCATTGGGGGTATCATGAGCAAAATCGCTATGCTAGCGCTGACTGGTTCGTCTACCACTCCAGTCTATCGTCGCATGTCAACCTGACATCCCACCTCTCCTCGCCCTTCCAGACCTCACCACCCTTGTTCACTCCAGCAATGATGGTGCGCAGATCACTGATCATGCCGCCGGGTCCGGATGCAAAGACGTCAGTGCGCCCTCGTACTGTAGAAGCAACAAAGTCGTCAACCGTGAGCCTCAAGTTAGGGCGCGCCTGAATGTGATCCAGGTTTAGCTCTGACTTTGATACACCGTGAACGGAAAGTGCGGACGAGACGGAGGCAGCCGAAGAGTCCGTTGAGTTCGAAATAGTCTGGATCTCTTTGCCCTGGCAACAGCTTTTCGGCTGGACTTCAATGTCAATTTCCTTCGGTGCGCAACAGCTGCCACTCTCCTGAGGCGCACAGCAGCTACCCTTCTCCGGCGAGCAGTCAGTCGCGGTGACCTTCTCGGCAGCTGTAGGTACGTTTGGCTCGTGGTAGTGGTCTTCAGCTGCGCGAGTGACATAGATGTGGATGCCGGTCCTCAGGTTCCGGCACTTTCGCTTCAGAATCGCAAGCTCTGGCGCGACCCAGTCGATGTCGCCGCGGTGGCGGATGACCCAGACGAGGGAGAGTTTGCGATCGCGGTTCTGAGGACGAGAGGCGATGTTGAGGAGGACGGGAAGAACATATGTAATGCCGGTACCGCCGGCGATACAAAGGATGTTTGAATCAGAAGAGAGGTCGCGCATGGTCTGCTCGCCATATGGGCCTTGCAGGACGACAGAAAGGCGAGCATTTCCCACAAGGCTTTCGCTAGCTTCTTGAGGATCGGCAGCGCGTGCAATACGTTTGGCGGAGAGCTCAGCAATCTTACGAGTCTCGCCCTTCTTCGCGCGGAAGATGTAAGAGTGGCGCTGGGTGTCAGCGCCGAAGACGGGAAGGCTGAGCGGGGTGAAGGGATGCGCTTGCCAGATGCTGGACTCGGGAAACATGAGATAGAAGTGCTGGCCAACGGACCAGGAATCCTGAGGGTGATCAAAATCCAAACGGACAACGTCGCCGTTGACATCGTCCTTAAAGAAGGTGATGTCTGCCGGTGCGGCGCGGAAACCCATGTGACCCGAGGGAAGGAAGTTGTAGTGCAGAAGAGCGGTCCTACCGAGGCGGATAGCGCGGTCAATGATCCACACAACCAGACCAGGAATGAGGAAAACCTTCAGCTGCTCCCAGTGACCCCAGCATGCGCCGATGTACACCATAGCCAAGACATAGTGGAGCTTACGGAAAGCCTCATAACCTGTCATGCGAATGCCCCATGGCGTAGATAAGATCACAAGGAATGTGAGAAGGATCATAGCGACTAGGCCCCATATCATATACAATTGGCGGATCCACTTGAGTCCAACAGAAGGCTGGGGCTGGTAAAGTCTGATCTCAATGATGGACCATCCAATGGTGTGCAGGGCGGACTGAGCAAAAATGAGATATCCCAACCAGCGGTGGAGGAAGTTGAAGCTCTGGTAAGGCAGTCCAGTGACCAAAGAAAGGATTGACTCTCGGCTGGATAGCATGATGGAGAGTGGAGTCAGAGCATAAGCAATGACACCCACGCGATCAGACCATGGTCCCAGACTTGTCCGAGTGTTGTAGGTGCCGGCCATGTTCTTTACTGGAGTGATCCATGTGTCGTAGACGATACCAACAAAGGACCAGATGGTAAGATAGCCCACAAGGACTACAAGAGTTAGGACCTGGGTACGTGTGACGCGGCCAAAGATGAATCTGTTGGCATCCGGAAGGAGGTATGAACGAGCATACGATGGAGCTGCTGTTGCAAATCTCTGAAGAGCGTTCCTCCTCTTGTTCACGCCTTCTCCTGCCAATTCTGCTGGAAGCACAACGCCTGATGGGTGTGCGCGCATGAAGTGTCGTCCAATGGCCCAAACGATGAGGACTCCACCGATCGTTGCCCAGATGATGCCGGTGTAGTACATGCCAATGTCGTGGGCAGCATACACAACGTCGAGGTACTTGCAGGACCCGGCATCGTTGACGCAAGGTATCACGCGGTCCGCATACCCCCAGTGCGGTTGCACCTCCGAGGCGGCGCTGATGTTCTGAATGTGTTGACGCGCTGTCAACATCTTCAGGGTGTTGGCCATGGCTGCTCAGATAACAAATTCGTGAGCAAAGATTGGTCGCGGCTACTGTCGCAGCAGACAGTTCCCATGGCTCTATATGAATCTGGCAGTCGACTCATGGTTGCCGCATTTCAGATGGTTGATTGACTAGTCGCGAGATGCCAAGCGTCTGCCGCTCCGCTTGGTGGTGAGAGTGGCTCCTTCCGGCACGCAATAGGCTAGTGTGAGTACCAAACGAGTTTATTTGAGCACGTTCCCCCACATTTAAAGGAGTTTCGCCGGGCCGCTGGCGTTTCCGCCAAGTTGGCTTGAGGCAATTTGTAGTTCTGGTTCGGGCGTTGAGCATGTTTCGGGGAGTTGATATAGCGGCGAGGCCCTGAGTATCGCAGTGGCGTCACAGCTGTCGAGCCTCAATTAAAGCCCCGAGTCCACGTTCCCTTGTGCGCACCTCGTCTGTCAAACCTCATCACCGCGGCGTACCAGCGACTGCACCCCAACGCACATCTCATCATGTCTCACGGCCACAGCTCCAATGCCACAGTTCTCGGCAACAACGAGTGCTCGATGGAGGTACATCAATTGGAACGTCGACTTGTGTTATGGTTGTTGACTTTCATAGATGCTCTGGAATTGGCGCATCGTTGACTCTTGCTTCCTGTCCGGCTCCTGGCACGTCAAGAACAACGCCATGTTCGCTGCATCTTGCATTGGTGCCGCTATGCTCGTTGTAACCCTCGAATTCCTGCGTCGTGTCAGCACTGAATGGGACGCATACCTTCTGCGCACTTTCCAACGGCAATTGCGCATACAGCGAGCAGCACTTGCCGAGACGCCTCTTTCCAACTGCTGCGACGGCCCCTCCTCCACGCTAGGAACCCAGTACGCTACGTTTCGCGCCACTTCGCTGCAACAACTAGCACGCGCCATCATCCATGGAGTAACACTTGGTGTTGCGTATCTGCTCATGCTGATCGTCATGTCTTTCAACGGCTGGATTTTCATCTCGATCATTCTCGGTGCGATTCTTGGGAAATTCCTGTGCGATTGGATGGTGGTCAGGATCCCATTTGAGGCGGTGTTCAGGCAGGAGAAGGATGTCCGACGGGCTTCAGTTGATGCTACTGGACCCACAGGTTGTTGCCGCTGAGCGACAGTAGACGCAGAAGACTGCTTGAAGAAGAAGCAGCAGACATATGATACCCAATCTTGCGAATAACCGATCAACTACCTATCGAATACTGTACTTCAGTGACATCGACGTTGTAGTTTGCGTTGCTCATACTGAACAACTTTGACATAGACTGTCGAATTGTGACTTCGACATGTCCAGTCCCGATACACCCACAAGATCAGCTGTCGTTATCTCGGAGGAGCAAACTTCGATCGAGTTCCAGGAATCAGGTAAAGGCAGACGCATGACGGTGCGTCTCGCCACTGAGGTTTGCCCACCACATTACTCGTTACCTACGTTGAGCAAGTTCTGAAGGTAGCCTGTTCAACATGTCAGCCACAATGCCGCATTCAGAAAGTACACCGAGACAAGCCCAACTTACTAGACATGTTTCTTACATCCAGAGCACCGCGATGTCAATCAGTGTGCGTGTTTTTGAGCAGATAAAGTCCCACTCACACGCTTGGTGGCGTTCCTTCGAGGCTCGGCTGTGCTCCACTTCACAGTCTCGAACGCGTGGGCTTCAGGGCAATTCACACCTGACTGCTTGGCATCGGCGCCAGCGCTTCGAATGTAGCCACCGAAGATTCATCTGACTCGACTTCCACTTGCATCGTGGGTCTCGAACAATCGGAATCTCTCTTCTCTCCTGCCTTACGACAGGTAGACCATGTGCTGTCCATCCTTCAGTGCATCAGTCCCGCGGCATGATGCCACTTTTCCTGCTTGAGGGATGCGAAGTTCGCCTTCAAGAGATTTCGATTTCCCTCATCATAGTCTCGCAAGTCTTTTCGAAGCAGATATGTGCCTCATACCGTCGAAAAAGGCCACAGCAAAATAGCAGCAGTCGTAATGGTAGAGTGCTTTGGATCGGTGAACTGTGGCACACTTGCACAGACGTCAGCAGCCAAATCATTTGCGCCACGCTTTGCTTGTACTAATAGAGATCTGTTGAGAGGTCGAAGATACCGCGCGCAGCTGTGCATTATGTCGTCAAGAAAGATACGCGTCATTCCGTACGAGTTCCACAACTGAGCCGCACGGTTGCTCGAGTAATGGTGGATGGTTTTTCCATACACGTCAGGTTCTTCGTGCAGCTCCTCTACTTCATACTGCTAGTACGCCGGAAGTCCTACGACAATGGCGATGTACTTTGCCTCCAGCTGTTGCGTTGCGTAAAAAAATTCTGATGGCATCATATGTTCGTCCTTGACATCAGCAAGCAGATTCGCCAGCGCTCCGGTGGAGCTGCTCATCCCAAATCGTGGACACTCGTCTGTGTAACGTAAATTGGACATTTGAAGCGCGACTATATCCGGGGCCAGTCGTGTGCTGGAGCGCAAGCTACCGATGCGTATGATGTTGGCGACTTGTGTGAACAGGGCTCGCTCGACTGGTATATCTAGCTGTCTCCTGCCATACAGCTGAACGAGTGCCAGAGCGCCAGAGCGCCTCTCGTGTGCTCTATCCAATTGTCTGGTGTGCCCGCGTCGGCACAGATAATGGTCTCATACTGTAACTGCGTGAGCAGTGTCGGTCGGAGACCGTGATCAACGATTGTATTGCTATCTGTTGTCGTGTTGTGTGATGTCGTGTTGTTGTGTTACATAAGCTCTCAGCTCTCAGGTAAGTGCACTTGCCCACTAGGCAGTGCCTGCTACAACAAGATATCATGTGATCTGAGCCACGTGGTTACACACACAGGCTCAACACCACGACTCATACAAGAACTGCGTCGATTATTGCAATTACTGCATTCGACAACGCGGCATTTATCTTCATTAGGGCATTAGCATACGATCGCTTCGCTTGTGCCATCCAGTAGGTTCCGGTTGTCCCAGCTCCCACGCGAGTCTCGCCAGCGATGCTGCGCGTACTGCTGCTGGCAGAGCCGCATTTCTTCCACTCACGCAATAGAGTCTCGGGAGGTATACAAAATGGCTCCCTGGAATGTAGAAAGGCACGAAATGAGCAAAGCAATATTGTCGATCGATTGCAACAAGCTTGACACTGGCGTGCAAAACGACATGCTCATGTCAGACTCAGGCTCCAGTACGCGAGCGATGTCGGTGGAGCATGGCGCTGGAAATGTAGATCTCAAGTCGGGATTTAAATCGTCCTTAGAGTCGTTCAGAGCCTTGTAGCTCTTCTATGCTCCTCTGATTACCGGTACAGCGGAACTTTCATCGCGGAAGAGCTGGTCAAGAAGGTCGCAGTAGCCCGGACATACGATGCGCATGTGGGGCATTGCGAGCATCCTAGCTTCTTTGTCTAGCACTTCCTGCATAGTCAGCAAAATCTAGGGAGTGTGTTATGTCTATTGAGCTGACCATGATGCGTCTAGTGCGGCGGGTGAAGCAAGCTGCGGGAGGTCGTCAGCGGTAACATAATCCAACGCCTTCTTGCGAAAGGCAACATGAACGCAGGTCGCTTAGCAACCCTTATATAGGAAGTACTTCGTCGACAGATAAAGCACCCAGCGGACATCGCGAGCCCCGCGTGTCTGACGACTGTCCTCAAAGCTTGTCGTGGTCCAGCTGCGCTTATTGACGGATATCCATGAGATGCAATTCGTTTGACAGATGATCATGGCCGGATGGAGTGATCGAAAGTACGCAGGAAGTCACAACAGACCCATATTGTAGACGATGACCAGCGAATAAGCCTTCACCTGCAGGTTACTCGGTTTCGCTGGTGAGGGTGTTGAGCAGTAGTGGAAGGGGCGCACTGCAGCAGGCGCGCTAACAAAGTGCTTAACGTTACCGGTACTTGTCATGAGGGGCATGGCGAACAAACACCAACTCTCCTTGCCCGATTGGATCAGTGTGTGCAGACACCAAAGCTGCGGCAAGATGGATCATAGCAACTTCTCACCCCCTTTAATGCCTCGCTACCTAATAGCCTCAGCATCAAGCCGTTGACTTGATGTCTTGTTCTACGGTCTACACCAACCTTCATCATGACCTCGAGGCAAGCACGTCTGGTAGCTCTTAAATGCCCATCCCCAATAAAGTGCCACGGGTGGCGCGCCGTCTATGTTGGCCGAGTTGCCGACGTTACCCCACAATAAACGGCCTTCGTTTGTTTTTGCTCTAGTACACTGTGGGGCCTGCCAAAAGCGCAACTCGACGACGGGATTGGGCGCCACGGCTCCACTTGATGTACGGGCTGTGACCTGCCATCGGAAGAAATGTTTGTCAGCCAGCTCAATAATGATGAGCGAAGGAACAATCGGTCTTCGTTCGTACTCCAATGCTATAACGCAATCGTCTCCCAAAAACACCTTCATCGCATCGGGCCTCTGCTATGCGCTGCCGTTCGTTGCACCCATCCACCCATTGACATCACGCTTGAACAATGACATCGCAAGCCGCAGCCGTGGAGCGCAATATCCGGGATGCGGAGAAGCATGATGATGCTGAAGAACGGCAAAGAGGTTTGAGAGCATGGCCCAGCACACGCGACGACGAGATCGAAGAGGCAGTCGAAGTCCCTGAACGGCAACAGCAAGAGCAAGAGAAGGCATCTACACCAGCTCTGGCAAGAGTGTTCTCGCGAACATCGGCAGCCTCGTTCGACCCCGGTCCAGCACCAGATGGAGGCTTGACGGCGTGGGTCCAAGTCTTCTGCACCCATCTTACAATTTTCACCACATTTGGCTTTTTCACGTCTTTTGGTGTCTACCAGACGTACTATGAGAACACGCTCAGAATTGCGCCCTCAACGATCTCCTGGATTGGCTCCATCCAGGTGTTTTTCCTCTTTGGCATTGGGGCCTTCTCGGGCCGTGCGACCGATGCTGGACTCTTTCGACCGGTGTACATTGCGGGGACCGTCTTCCAACTCGTTGGTGTCTTCACCATGGCTGAGTCTACAAAGCTCTGGCAGCTATTCCTCTCTCAGGGAGTCTGTCTAGGGATAGCCAATGGACTGCAATTCTGCCCTGCCATGGCGCTTGTTTCGACCTACTTCGTCAAGAGGCGTGCTTTTGCGCTAGGCTTTACTGCTTTAGGATCCTGTACCGGAGGTATTGTTTTTCCAATCGTTGTGCAGCAATGCCTGCCGAAGCTCGGATTTCCGTGGACTATCCGAATCATCGGATTCATTATGCTGGCTCTCAATGTCATCACTATCTCGCTGTTTCGAACACGACTGCCTCCACGGAGGACTGGACCGATCGTTGACTGGGCCTCTTTTAGAGAAGCGCCGTATTCGCTTTACTGTGCAGGCATGTTCTTCAACTTCTGGGGCTTATACTTCGCCTTCTTCTACGTGGGATCTTTTGGCCGTAACATTCTAGGCCTTCCCTACCAGGAATCCATCAATCTGCTGCTTGTCCAGATCTGCATGGGCTTCATCTTTCGACTGCTGCCCACCTACTACGCGGACAAAGTCGGCAGTCTCAACACACTTATCCCGTTCGCATTCATCTGCGGGATCATGATGTACGGCTGGATCGGGGTACATTCTGTCAGAAGCTTGTACGCCTTCGCTGTCATCTATGGATCTGCCAGCGCTGTAATTCAAGCTCTTTGGCCTGCGGTCATTGGTTCGCTGAGCCGGACTCCGGACATGAAGAAGACCGGTATCAGGATGGGTATGGCTTTCACGATTGTATCGTTTTCCAGCTTCACAGGACCGCCATTGGCAGGCGCACTTATACAGCGGCATGACGGTAATTACACGTATGCCAACATCTGGGCTGGGACTTCTTTCTTCATAGGTGGTGCGTTGCTTGTCATGACTCGCTTTGCGCTTGTAGGATGTGATTGGAGGGCCAGAGTTTAGATATCTGTAAAGGCGGCCGATGTCATTTCAGATTATGTCAATCGCTTACTAGACTCATATCGATAAACTCTCGCGGTGAAGGAGCCTTCTAATTTGGGCTTACATTCGCACCTTTAACATCAGGGCCCAAGTCAAAGAAAGTCAAGTCGTCTGCACCGTCCTGGTACAAGGAATAGTACAGTGAGTATCTGTAGTCTCCAGAGGAGATCCTTGGTGCTCGTTTCTCTCTGTTGAGCCCAAAGCATTAGTGTCTGGCGCTGCCGTCCGGTCGGTCTGTGGTGGGAAAGCTAGATCAGAGAACAAGTTTTTCATCTCTTTTGCGCTTGCTAGATTATTGGCCGAAAGGGAAGCAGATGGCATCGAGGCCATCTCATATGTTCGCACAATGTCAACGATCGCCACTAGTACGCTCGTTGCGTCGGCAAACTCAGGTGGTGACAAGAACCGAGGCGTGACCCTCAAAAGATGCAGGTATCATATCTGAGCGTCATCCAGTTTGCTGATGAAAGCCACGCCATTACTGGTCAAGTCATGTAAGCTGAGCGATGGAGGCATACCTAGGGATGCAGCTTGGCTGATCGCCTCTTGGAGCATGATATCTTGCAGTGCTTCATGAGTTGACTGGTTATCGATAAGAATTTGAGGACTGCCTGGCGGTAATAAAGTACTCTGCGTCGGAGGCATTTGGCCTACAAAATAACGGACTTGCTGACATCGCGTGAGCACACTTGAAGGCATCCAGCCAAGCTCACCATTCCCTGGTCGCACTGATAACCTAAATCAGTGAAGACAAACGAGAGATTACAAGGAAACAAGATAGCGGTAGCCCAATTGCTAGGCAACCGCAGAGACTCGACTACCCAGCAATAATTCAAATCCCGGAATACAATTATGCTGAACAAAGTGTTGTGACAAATCGAGCTGTCTGACCGCTTGGAAGTGTGCGGTCTCTTCCGCGACAAGTTCGAGAGTCGACGTTGGCGTGTAGTCATGCTGAACGGGCTGATTCGAGGTAGACTAGACAGGGCGCAATGTCGGAGGACCTCCCAGAGGCAGATTTTGCAGACCGCGCTGTTTATTTATCAGCGATCGATCACCGACGGAGGCAATAAGCCACTGACTTACGTGCCCCCCTGCTCCTGGCATACCGACTTTGGGGATTAGGCATGATGATATGTCGGTTCGCAGCCATTGTTTAAGACCATCAGAGCCTGAGCAGAGAGAGTGTTAAAGCGTAAGGTGACATCAAACTCTTGGAGCGCTGTTACTCTCGACGTGTGCGCGAGGATGCCAGTGGTGTTGCGTACGCCCTTGGTTGATTGCTGCGTTGTCTAGCGCCACATGCTCAGCCACAAGGCTGATACCTACCGTACCTATCGAGATGCAAAGCAACACTGACAATCTCCAGGCTGCTGCGACGAACATTGATCCTGCGCACAACAGGGACCAACAACCTTCATAATGGCCCGCAGCTGCTGACTTAGGCTCTTGGCATGCGCCTGAAGTTTGGAATCTCCGTGGCCCGTCAGGACAAAGTTCCATCTAACTCCGCACATGCTCACATTCCCATCACTGGACACTTCCGCTCTCCTTGCCCTCTGCAGTATGGCGTTCAAGGTTGTCTGACCCTTCACACCAACCGTTATCGAGACCAGTCCTTCCGGGCATGCATTCTGGCCAGGAACGAAGCCCATCCTGGCATTTGTGAACGCCAAGAGGTCTCGACTTCTCGTAACTCCAAATGTTTCTTCCCATTGCCGAGCAGCTGCCTCGTGTCCGTAGTCGCCAGGCGGCAACCGGAGTATACATCCTTCGAGCGAGAAGTGTGCAGATCGTCTCATCCCTAGGTGATATACTTTGTGATCCGAGCCGCATGCGTGCCAGGGCGAGAAGCGCGATTCAAGAGGCGTAGGGTTGTTCGCACTAGGTGCATGGCTATCGAGCTCCGGCATCACGCTGCCTGCTGGTGTTAGTTAATGCGGACCTGGACGAGAGTTCACCGTACCTTTTGTACCCTTGGGGTGACACTGCACGAACATGGTATCGCTATGCTCCTGACTGGTGATGACTTTCGCCAGGCCTTTCGTTTCGATGTCCTCCCGCCGCTTCTTTGCGTCTTCCGTCCGCATAATGGTCATGTTACGGTGCAAGTCGGTCCGACAGGCCTCGATCGTCACCTCCGTTGACTACCTTGGACTAGCACGTCTCAGGGCATGTATATATGGTCGCCTCCTAGCTAGCAAGCAACTTAGCGCAGTTTTCCATCGATATACAGCGGCTACGTTTGCCGCAACAGGTCATATAGCCTCCATGGCCGCGCTTGCTGAGCAGACGCCCTGCCGCAGTGCTATCCTTGAAGGGCGAGACGGCTTTAATCATCTCACCGCCGAGGGGAATTAAGCGTGATGTTGGCGAATGCGAGGTTTCATTATTAAGTGGGCGTACCCAGGAAGTTCCTCAGCCCCCATTGACTCACGGATGGGTCTTCATATATAACATCCACTCCAATGACATGTGTCTGGAGCCCATCGTCAGCAGATTCGTGGGATTCATGTCGAGTTGCTCATACGAGAAGCTGCCTTGCTTGGTTGATGTCCTCTATTACCAAAGCAACCTGGCGCAACCGCGTGGGCGATGGGCCCAGGCTGGGTGCTGTCGTCTTGCTCAAAGACGCTACCATTGAGACGTACAAAGCTCGTGGAGGGGGAAATATGCGTAGATCCTTAATGCTTACTCGAGTTGCGGTATGTACAGTACGTTCAGCTAACCGACCTCGGCCTGTGTTCTTCCCCAGAGCGTGACACGAACACGCGACTGCCAAACGCGCAATCACGCTAGCCCCCACTTTTGACACCGCACGCGCCTTCCTCTCAGACCTCAGCTTCACCTCGCTCCTCTTTCACTCATCGGAAGTACAAGGTCCATGACGTGCCGATCTCTGAAGCACGAAGTATCTTGTCTCGTGCACTATAACGGGGTGACCCCACTCGTGTCAGCCTCTAAGGAACATGACCTCGCCTGCGGGATATCTTCACTTGCCTCATTCTGAAGGTCTGCTACGGATACCAAGAGCGTCAATTTCTCCATGTGTACCCGTGTCCTTTGACCAGATGTTGGCTCCTTCGGTCGTGATTCGACTAGCTTGGCTCCCTGTCCCCATGGTTTTATGCATCTACGTGGTGAGAAGCACCTGACCGATCGACCGCCATAGCTACAAAGTTACAACGTTCCATTGCCAGATTTCCACACGAACTGGTCGACCCGTAGGGTAGCAGTTAACTGTCAAGAGGGCAATATCTTCGTATATTGTTCGCTCGGGACGACATCTCTCGGTTTGACCACGCCAAATGAGTGTAAAAGCTGGAGATGCATCGCTGGCGAAAGTTCAGAGGCTTGACCGGTAGCCAGGATTAACAGACGTTCTAATATACCTCCCTGACTCCAGCTATGTTTATTGCATATGCACTCTGCTCCGCACGCTGTTTCTGTGTCGCCCACCATCCCTATGCGGCACATCAACCATGGCTCGAGAATAGCAATCGTCACAAGAAAGCCACAAGACGAGTGAGACCAGCTCAGCACGCTACTCTTCGCGAAAGCACCTTGCGCTCAAACCTTGCAGACCTCGTCAATGCCGCGGTACTGAAATGCTTTGCCTTCACTGCCACCACCTTGCTGTCACATGCTTTGTGTTTCAGCGCAGCGGAACTTGCCAAACCTGTCTGCTTCTGCGCCAGCTCTAACGTAATTTTGTAAAGTTGCACGGGTCCGGTTCTTCAGCACAAGCTCAGGGTCTGGTCTTGGCTGCAATTGACTTCCTTCATATCCGCCGTCACCTCGTTTCCTGAGCCCACCGCGCACACACTCTTTCAATTTGATTCCGAAACCTACCATCGTCGCTCCTTACGCACGCCATCTTCTTGGGTTATGCCGGCTGCCCCAACTTTGCTTTTGTCGGTCTTTCAGTACTACACCACCTTGTCCGCATACATCTGCGCCCTTTGTCGCCGTTCTTGTCATTACTACCTGGGAGCGTATGGGTGCGAGATTTACTAACCATGTCTGACTGCAAGGACAAGCTCTGCCTTAGGCTTGCCTGCGAGACACCACTTCCACGGAGCAGCAGCACCAACCGCGAGGGGCTCGCTTCTTTCACCGCAAAGCCGTATACACGTGCTCAGGCAAAGATCGAACAGCACGCTGGACTAGCGCTAAGCCCGCCTCTACAACCTCCGGTATCGAGCAAGAAGCGCAGTCGCAAGCCAGAGTTCGGCATATTTGTCGACGCTGACGCTGCAAACGCCCCATTCTTTCCGTCCCCAAAGAAGCTCAAGTTGAATGAGCGCGTTCCCCTTGCGATCAGATCTGATTCTGGGAATATGACTCCGGCTTCTTCTCCACGCAACTCTAACATCCCCTTGCCGGTCGCACCCTCTGACACGCTGTGGGAGAACATCGAGAACTACGACCCTCGTCCGCGCTACACGACGCCTCCTTCTACACCACGTAGTTTGTCGCCGACTCCATCGCCATCGCCACACCCATCTCCGTATCGTCCTGTTCGTACATATCGACCTCGCCGGGCTCAGCGAGCTCCTTCTTCTAGGCCACTACCACCGCCCAAGGACTTGACCCTGTACACGGCGCTCGACCTCAATACCTGGACAGTAACTACGGAAGAGATCAAGGCAGCACACCATAAGTACGCCCGTGAACATCACCCAGATAAGGTTGCTCCAGAACAGCGCGAGGAGGCTACGCACCTGATGCAGACTGCCAACGCCGCTGCGGAGGTGCTCTTGGACAGCAGGCGTCGCAGGGCGTATCACAGCAGCGGAAGGCTTCCTTGGACGACGTGAGCTTGGTGTTGAATATTGGAGTACGGTATGCTGCAACGTTTTCCTTCTACTTGTTGTATGTTGACTCATTCTAGCAGGAGTTTAGGTCGTCCGGAAAATTTTTGCTCCACTTCCTTTCAGATCTTGTCATACTAATGGAGGAACAGATTCCAACGTTACTTGAGTTTGTACCGCACCATCATAGGGATAGGGATCTACTGCAGAGTAGCGTTGGTACGGTAGACGTTGGAAAAATATTGGGGAAAAAATTGTCTGCTTAGCTACGAACACAGCGCTTTCATCCATGATATGCTTGTAACCCCTTGTCAATCTATGCTTTGATGCCTCTTCCTTGTGTTCGGCATAATAAGCGTGAGCATCTTTACTCTTTCACTTGATCTCTGCCTGATTGTCAGCGCATGAACGACGACTTTGAGACAGCAACGGCGCTTTCTTGAACGCACTACTGCAATTGATTGCAAAATATAAGCCCATCAACAAAATTTATGAGCCGCGAGCCTACTTCTGACCTATGCAAGCCATCATGCGCCAGGCCTAGAATCGATAACTTGGCTCAAAGTTTTGCTGAGACAGCGCTGAGACACTCTCGTGTTGACGGAGATCAGTTGTAACAGTGGTTCTGATAGGCGACAGTGCGAGCTCATTCTGGCTGTTGTTACCACGACGACACAGCTTATTGTCTTTGGCGCTCCTCGTCTTCGAGCCGATGATCATGTTCAGCTTGAGACTAATGCTGCCTTTTTTATTCGATCTTCCAGATTGTTTAATGTATCCTTGTGGAGATTCTCGCTCCGTTCTGCGGCGGATGTTGATGAGTGCGGCGAAGGCTGAGCAGCAACCAATGATGACTGCTACGGAAACCTCCACGACGCTCCAGAAGGCCAGTCACTTTGGTTCTGCTGCCCCAGTTCCACCCGTTTCAGCGATGCCACTGAATGTAATGTGCATAGTAGCAAAGGAGATACACACCAGACTGGCAGCGAAAAGAGCGCAGATGGCAGCCTTCTGCCGACGCGGCATTTGCAGGTTCCAAACCAAGCGGATGGGTAAAGACATTACAAGAGCATTATGTCAGCAAACAATTCTTTGAAGTACAAGAAGTATCTTACCAATCACGTCTATCGAAATGTTGATAGCATAAGCAATATAAGAACCGATGCCTTGAATTTGAAACTCTTCGGGCTTATTACATGTTGTGCTTGCGAAATAGACTGGCAAGCTCTTGCAAACAGCGAACAACGTGGAGATGCAGCTAACATACGCCTGTGATGAAAGTCGAACGTCAGCCACATCTCAAGAATGATGGTTGCTGAGTCTTCACTTAGATAGTACGTGGCCATTGTCCACCACATTCGAATGCAGATCGATGGCAAGCTGACCAGCAACTTTCTGTGCAGACAGAGTAGGGAGAAATCGACCGACCACATGTAGCACAAGAACTGCCCACCCCACACTAGCCTCGCCGTCTGTGCTGCAATGTCGCTGCAGGGGTTGCCGGCATGGGAATCTTGCCCGTCAATATATCCGTCGACTTGAAGAGGATCGAAATGACTGCAATGAGCTGTCTGCATAACCCCAGGTAACAAATGTAGGCAAAATACAGGAGGTAGCCCTATAGCTCCAGCTTCTTTCGTCGAGTTGCTTGGAAAGATCAGGCGTGAGAGAACGATTACAGCGATGAACGTAACCATAGCGTGCTGGATGTGCGTGACCTCGGCTTTTGCAAATCTCTTCGCGATCAGGGAGTGCCCAACAACGGCGCCGGCACCGGCACCGGCGTTTTCTGATGCCATGCTGGAATATGCTTCAGATGTGTAAAGATTTGAAGAAGAGCTGCATACTGTAGAACTACAGACTTCTGTCGCCTGTGACGATACTGACAAGTTAAGTATCTGGTACGAGCATTGTTAGCACCATCATCGTCAACCACTCTAGTACGAATGTCATGGTGCGAACCCATCATCTCTGGAAGCCAGAGGGCTGCCCGACCTGTGCCCGAGGAATGTTCTTCAGGTGTGTGTTGGTTTGTAAGGAGACCATGGCTTCGCTGTTGGGTCTAGCGATCTCAGATGGAGCGACAAGCCACCCAACGTCTTCTGTGAATCGGTATCTAGGTCACAATTGAGCATTATTCAAACCGAATCCTCGGCTACCTGGATTGAAGGCATCCCTTTATCAGACCGAATAACCACCTGCAGACGTGGGTGAGTTGGGCGCTCAAACCGCCGCGTTGTTGCATCGTCTTCAATTGAAGCTGGTTGATCTTCATTGGCAGAATGTATCAAGTAACTTAAGAAGCGATCAAATTCCTCTGCCAAGCTGTTCTTAAACACAGCCGGCTTATCTTCGTGTAGCTAATCTGCCTAAAATTAGACTAGCTTTCTACATTTTAATCTAGAGCCCCTAGAGCAGCCGGTGTGATCCGCTGCACATCCAGAGTGATCTGCTGCCTACCCTGATCCATCTCTGCTGCGACATCCTTCACGCTTCCGCAGCCAGATTGCCGAGGTCGCTGGAAAGTCTGCAACGAGACACACGGCTCGTGCCGTATGCTGTCCCATGAATTAGGCGCTCAGAAATAAGACCTGGCCAATAGCAGAGCAGGAGGCTAAAGGTCTGCTAAGCGACACCTTAAAGTAGCTAGCGTTGTGAATTATCTCCGGAGCGTCTGATTCATGAGATAACCCTGATATTAGCAAAGAAGCGGATAGTTCCACAGTGTGAAGCGAGATGTAATCCGCAGTTTGAGGCCGTTTGGCAGACGCCGCCGGCAGCAAGTATCTCCTGTTGACATCTTGCAGAAAGTGCTTGTCTCTTCGTTTGTGCAATCTGAGGATAATAGCCAGGCAGTGGTTGCAAGGACAGCTGCCGTCAATCACCAGGCGCAAGCGTAACAAGTCGAAGGTTCATGGATGATTCGCCGATGATGATGATACGAAGGCACAAGAGATTATGTGAACGGTGTGGATGACCATTTCTATAGCTAGCTGGGAAGCTTATGCAATGGTCCCCGGGTCCTACTGGCGTCCTTTGTTGTCTGGCATCAACAAACATGGTGCGCAAAGGCGCACCTCGTTCGTGATAGCACATGCAGGGACCGAGTATCAGACCCACATCTGCTCTTTTTAGATGAACATCTCCAGCGATCTCTGGGAAGCGGGACCTTTTTAGCCGTTTTACCAATCATGCAAACTGTATGTTCAGCCGCATAATTGCGCGCAACCCCGCACCATCGCAGAGCACTGCAACCAACCGGTCATTGTCCGTGGTCCTTGGTAGAGAACTGCCGGTTGCGCGCTAGACAATTCCCCTCCGTTACTAGTCATGCTGCAGCAACTCGGACACAGTCCTGTTCCAGCACGTCTCATCGATCGCCTTATTGATGTTGGTTCGCTATTACGACCGACCGTCTTGAACAAGAGTCGTAAGCACGCAAACGGGCCTTCCCTGGAGTCAACTCAAGCTTCATCGAAGCCTGCGTTGAGGTTCGACCACACCCTTTGAATCCTTCGTCAAACTTTCACCACGTCAAGTATCTCGCCGAAACAACATGAAGCTTCTTTCTTGGACAGCGACTGCTGCTTTCATGGCGAGCTGCGGAGCTCAAGACTCGTTCGAGACGCCCGACTTCAATGTTCCAGAAGCACTCTTGAGGCAAGGCGTCAATGTTTCTGCCTTACCTGAGCTCGCTGGCCTAGTTGAACGATCGTCGAATCTGGCTTGCTCGACCGCTGTAAGCTCAGCTTACCCTAAAGTCTTGATTTCTGCTGACGCCTTCTAGTGTCGTTCTCTGAACATTTTACCTGGCTTCGAAGTCTTACTCGAAGATTCTACCAATTATACTGCGTTTACCGACGCGTATTGGTCAACACAGCAGGCAGAAGTCAACCCTATCTGTATCTTTAAGCCGTTGAGCTCCAAGCAGGTTTCCATTGCCATTCTGATCTCGCGCCTCACCAGGTGTCCGTTTGCCGTGAAGGGTGGCGGACACGCCGCTTTCGAGGGTTCCTCAAGCATCGAGGGCGGCATCACTATTGCTTTGGAGAAGCTCAATGAGATCAAGGTCACTGCTGACAAGAAAAGCGTTTACGTTGGGCCGGGCAATCGCTGGGGCCAATTTTACACTGAGCTTGAGAAGCATGGCGTTGCTGTAGTCGGAGGACGAGTAAGCCCGGTACCTACGCACCTCGAGTACACGTACTAAGCACTTCAAGGTCAATGATGTCGGTGTGTCTGGACTCACACTTGGAGGGGGCATCAGGTGAATTCATCTTGCTCCCAATCAGCCGGACATAGTTATTGACTTCAATCTAGCTTCTTTGCGAATATGCGTGGGTGGGCATGCGAGTAAGCAAGAACTAAAGCTTTTGATACACAAGATCAAGATTGACCCGACTGCAGCAACGTGGAGAGCTATGAGCTTGTCACAGCATCAGGCTTGGTGCTTACAGTCACTCGCAAGTCTTTTCCGGACCTATACTGGGCTCTTCGTGGAGGTGGAAATAATTTCGGTATTGTGACGAAATTCCAGCTGCACACATTCCCGATTGGAAAGATGTGGGGTGGCAGCAAGCTCGTCGCTAGTAGCGACTTTGAGAATGCCCTTGATGCGACTTACAACTTTGGCCTGACAGGAGCTGTCAATGACAACAAGGGCTCACAAATAATCTCGTTCGCCAACCAAGCTGGATACGGGCCGCTGGCACAAGCATTTTTGACGTACTCGGAGCCCTCCGAGACCCTTCCTTCTATGTTCAAAGACTGGAGCAACATCTCACTTGTCCAGGACACCACCGGCCCGCACTCTCTTTCCGAGCTCGTGACTCTGCTGAGCACAGGCATTCCAGACGGCGTACGTGAGACCTACTGGGATGTCACTTTCAAGCTTGATCGTTCCCTTTTCAGCTACCTCGTCAACACCTTCTTCGAGCTTCTTCCGAACATCGTCAGCGCTGAGAACCTCCTTCCTACAATCTCAATTCAGCTTCTGACCATCCCACAACTCCAGCAGATGCAAAAGCACGGTGGAAACGCTCTCGGTATTAGTACAGCTGATGGCCCAATGTTTATCATGAACTTAGGCACTATGTGGACCAGCCCGGCTGACGATGCCCGCATCTTCAAGTTCAATAACGACATCATCGCCAGAGTGCGGGAAGAGGCGTCGAAGAAGGGTCTGAATAACGATTATATATATATGAACTACGCATCCGGTTACCAGGCGGTTATATCGAGCTATGGAGATGAGAATCAGAAGAGGCTCAAGTCGGTTGCTGAGTTCTACGATCCTACTCGCATCTTTCAGGAGCTTCAGCCGGGATACTTCAAGCTCGATGGCGGTGCACCGCTCGGTACATTCCTATAGATAGCTTCGATTCAAGCACGGTATGTGTATATCATACGCCCGAGAAGTAAGCCTCACGACAATTTCGAATGGGCGACTGAAATGAGATATGTATTACCGTGTCCATCGGGTCAGTGCACGCGTCGGGTCAATGCACGCAATCACCAAAACACCCCGAAACCCTCAACACCACAACTTCACGAAATGATGTCACTTTCTGATGTGCTTAAAATGGTACCCGTAGCTGTACTAGGCGAAAAGATTTGCTACTAAACACTTGCTAATTAGACAGGGTTGTTGCGTTTAACATTGTTGTGCAATGACAGGCGTTACCATCCCCTGTGCAGCTGCAGACTAGCAACGACGAAAGCTCGACCCACAACAAGAGCGTGAGCCTTGTACCTATATAGAAGAGCTTACTAAGCATCATCTGCCACCTACAAGGCAAATGATACAAAATTTTGCTGCAGAAATAGCTCACAAGAGCATTAGCGATACCTGGGTCTAAGACTTCCTCCACTGTCACTCTAAGACGCTCCTATACAAATGGACCACTGCTATAGACAAAGTACGTCACGCCGCTGATAATAGCGATAATTGTAAGCAATATTTCAGCCTCCTGCACAAGAAGATCGCCGAATATAACGTTAACGCTGCCAATATATACAATATGGATAAGAAGGGCTTTGCTATCAGCATTATTGGCAGAAGCAAGCGGTCTCTAGTAAGCGCTCATATGAGAAGAAAAAGAACAATAAATCACTGCAGGATAGAGACAGAGAGTGGGTAACACTATTGGCAAGCGTCTGTGCTGATAGTGTAGCTCTGCCTCCAGGTCTTTTATATATAGGCAAGAACAACACCATTTAAAGCAACTGGGTAGAGGACATCAAGCCAGGAAAACACTTCGTATTTATTACTGCAACGCCTTTAGGCTGGACGATCGACAAGGTGGGATTAGCATGGCTAGAACAGTTGTTTAGCTACACCAAGCGGAAAGCACTGAATTAATGGCAATTGCTTATCGTTAATGGCGAACTATGGGTCTTATAGAAAAATAGCCTTTATCAAATATTGCCATCGCTATTGGATTCTGCTACTTGTCTTCCCTCCACACAGTACCCACGCGCTACAGCTGCTTGACGTTATGTGCTTCTCTCTGTCAGCACACAACTACTCCAAAGTCGTCACCTAGCACCTTCACAATAGCTGAGGCCTACTAAGGGTACATAAGAGCACCTTATTTATGCTCTTTTACCAGTTATGGCAGCAAACTTTCACTAAAGAGCTTATACTCAGCGCCTTCAGAAACACGGGTATTTCTCCACTTAAGAGCAGCGTTATCCTCAGTCAATTTGATGACGATGATGTCAGTACAACAGAGACTCCTCTGCCTATGAAGGCAGACAATTGGCGTTCAATTAACGGTCTCTTTACTGCAGAAGTGCTAGATCAGGCCTCAGTAGAGGCAAGGCAGTTGTGCAGAACCCTTCGCCACTTAGCAGCTCGCAATAAGATTGTAACGGTTAAGAGGAGAAGCAGATCACGTGTTATTGGCGATGGTCTGGTGCTGCTTCCTCATGTTGTTGAGCACCTCTTGCCTTGGCTGCATCACAGATACGTCATGCAGACAGACCCCACAGCCAACCTCCTTGAGGCCGGACACAAGCAGGACAGAACAACACAATACACTCGTTATACATTTTGCCCTTGATACCGCAACAAAGATCCTTAACCTTAAAAGAAAGGACTCTCTGCAGTAGTTTTGCAGCAGAAGCCCTTAAAGAAGAAGAGGGAGACTCCTAACCTGCAGCAGCAGCAGGAGTACCGCAGTGCAGCTATACTTTACTCTCTACGCAAAGTACGCGAAGCCTAGCACTATAACCATGTTAATGAGATTGAGAGACTTAAAAGAAGAGGTTAGAAACACTATAGACTAGAGGAGAGAGCTGCTACAGCACTTCGCAATAAGTTAGAGAGAGAGAGAGAAGGTTAAAGGCGTGCTGCGCGTGCGCGGAGTGGTGTTGTAGTAGAGGTGCCTGCAGGCAGTTCAGAGCCAGCGCCTCTGGAAAATAGACCAAAGGTGATGAGTATGGCTATGTGAACTGTCGATTGGAGTACCACGGTGGTGGACGATTATATACAGTGCGGGGCGGGAGCTATTATAACGGTTTTCGAAATACCATGTACATCACGTGCAGTGGCGAGGGGTATTCTTAGAACTTCAACGCATCACCCATAGGCTAATTCTGAGTGTATTTTGATGATTGCAGCTGTTTTCTTAACCTTATATACACGCTAAATTTATTCATAAAGCTCTATCGCGACTCTCGCGACTGTTTTCTGGTGTTGTTGGGGCAGAGACTCCGCGTGGCAACCAACCCATGATGCGCGACAACGGCAAACGTTTACCCGCCACCACGCAGCAAGCTGTAGTAGAGCATATAGCTGCTGTGGAGAAAGATTCCGAGGTTTCTGCTGCTTGCCAAGTCGATCGTCGCACTGTAGCAAAGCTGCGATTAAGCTTGGAGTACTGGGGACAGTGCTATCCTCCGCCTTCTGTCAGGCTCGGCCGCCCGCCTTTACTGCGGCAAGCGCAGCTAGAAGCACTCCAATT